CAGAGAAATGAATTCTCTTAAAGCTCAAAGAGCTTTTATATCTTGGAAATCCTTGAAGAAGACTTCTTGATCTTGGGAGTTTCTCAACTCTTCTAAAAGAAAGAGCTTGAGACTATTCTAGATCTAAGATCTAGAAACTCATAAAAAACAAATAAATCTAGTTAGCCACACAGGGCCAAGGATAACCAAAGCTCTGATACCAAATGTAACACGGGCTTATATGAAAACGCCCTTCAAATCACAATGAAGACCCGGGCTTATAAATGAATGCTCACAAAAAGGTCACTAGTAGGCTTATAAAGGCGCCAACAATAAAATACACACAAGGTAAACTAGCTCCTATGATAGCTTGAGTGTCGAAGACTTGGTAGTTGAAGCTTGGAGAGTGATGGAGTAGCTTCCACCAAAGGGGTAGTTGGAGCTTAGAGCACTTGTGAGGGAAAAGCCTTGTACTTGGAGGAAAATCCCATTTCCATTTTGGTTAATTGGAAGTTGGGAGTTGAGAATGAGCTTGGTTAGCTCAAACCCCTCCTAGACCTCCTTGGGGAGCTCCACTTCCTCCATGGCAACAAGGGCAAGGAGCTCCTAGGGGTGAGTTTGCTTAGGTGGCACAATGGTTGGATTAGCAACCAATGAGAGCAATAGAATTGTGATAATCATGGTTTTGTTACATGTTGTGACTTGTAACAACAATGTTCCATTGCCATTGGTTGGAATTCCAACCAATGTAGGGGTTGGGTTGGATCCCAACCACGCTTGTCTTTTAGTGGGTGGTTGTCCACAATTGTGGACCAATCACCACTCATCTCCTCCAACCTCTTCATCTCATAAGTCGCTACCTTACTTAGGTAGCGCTTTAGCTAGGATTGCTCGTAGGGTAGGAGGGCGATGTGTTACAAGCACGCAGCACGCAGCAGGGCAGCCGAGCTTCTCTCTCTCCTCTCCTTGCCCGCCTCGCCCCTCTCCCTCGCCCTCACGGCCCTTGTAGCTCTGCTGCTGCTGCGCGTGCTGCTCGTGCTGCACGCTGTGGGCCGCCCCCACCGCAAGAGGCCGCGTGGCGACCGCCTCTCCACGCTCATCGTGCTGGGCTCAGGTGCTCATCGTGCTGGGCTCAGGTGCTTATCATGCTGGGCTCAGGTGCTTATCGTGCTGGGCTCAGGTGCTCACATTCGCACTCTCCGTTGCTCCCCTCCCCCGTTCTCCACCACAGATCCACCATCTCTTTCCCCCCACCACCTTCCGCTCTCATGTTCATTTTCCAGCCGCACGGGCGCTTCAGCGGCTCTCTGCGCGTTTCATGCAGCCGCACGGCACCGCGCAGCACCGTTGCTTGACACAATCGTTGCTGCGCTACAAGCTCTGCCCTTTCTTTCTCCGCACACACAGGCAATCCCTTTCTGCACACCCTCACACGTTCACCCTCCCCGCTTCCCCCACACTCACTCATGCTCGCCTTGCTGCCGCGCACTCCCTACCACCTGCGCCTCTCCCCCTCCCCTGCATTTTTTTTTTCTGCCTGCGCTGCTGCCTTCCTCCCTCCCCATGCGCGCCTCCCGTCCCTCGTCCTCCCCCCAGGCGGCCACACGTCGGAGATGCTGTGTGTGGTGACTGTGCTGGACCACACACATACGTGTTCACACACATGCGTCCTCCCTGCTCCTTCCACGATTATTCCCTCCCCCCCCCCGCCCCTGCCTTTCCTCCGCCCCTTCAGGAGGCCACACGGCGGAGATGTTGCGACTAGTGGGCGCCCTGCGACTAGTGGGCGCCCTGCGACTAGTGGGCGCCCTGGACCACGGGCGCTACAGCCCGCCCTGGACCACGTGCGCTACAGCCCGCGCTGCTACATTGCTGCTGCCACCGACGCCATCAGCCTGCCCAAGGCGCGCCAGCTAGAGCAAGCCCTCGCGCAGGTGAGACCCGCCACCACCCTCGCCCAGGTGAGACCCGCCACCACCTTCGCCCAGGCGAGACCCGCCACCACCCTCGCTCAAAGCGAATCTCTGTTGCATGGTTGTATGTTGCGGCGCCTCAAAGCTCGCCCACGCACGACTGCCTGCCTGCCTGTGGCCTGCCAAGCTAATGTTGCTGCCCATACCCACGCCCTGCACTCACCGCGCCATGGAATCGTGAGTTGGGGCAGTCACACATCATGTCTGTTTTCCTCCTGCGTTTTCCTCACTCTTGCTCTCCCATCCCGTGCACAGCAGGACGCACCAACTTCCTCCCCCCCCTCGCCTGTCCCGGCCCCTTCATTCCTATCGGTGTATCGCAGTCGAGAGGTGGGGCAGTCGTACATCACCTCAGTGGCCACCACCATCGCTGCCACGCTGCACGCCATGCTGCTCGATGCTCGCGTCAGACCGCAGCTGGTCCGTCCATCCGTGTAGCTTACCTCTTGTCTCTCTCGTGCTGCTTCCTGCTAGTCCTTTTCTCTGGATTCTGCGGATGCATGTCATGTTTCCTTGTGATCCTGCCATTCCGTCAACTCACATTACAACTCACCGTTTTTGCCCATCCGTGCCCATCCTTGTCCATCCGTCTCCCTCCCTCCATCAATCCACAGCTGCTCTGCAACGGGCCAGGCACCTGCCTGCCAATCTGCATCGCTGTCTTCACGTTGCATGTGAGTTCCTCTCGATCTGTGTGAGCACAACTCATCTGCACCCATCTGCACCCTCCCATCCCCTCCTCCACCGACTCACAGACCCTCTGCATCCACCTTATCCATCTTCACACACTCACTGCAATTCACATTCCAGTGAGCTCCGTTCCTGTACACAGCGACTCTTCACGAGTGCCACTCCCCGTTCACACATGGTCCCTAGTGCCAGGCCATCTCCTCACCTCACTCGCAGCATCTACATTCATTTGCTGTGAGACCGGCTGTCGGTGGCCCTCTGCTCTCCACCGCTTCTCTCTCCTCGCCGCCCAGTGTGACGCCCTTCCCTTTCGCTTGCATTCCCTTCTTCCAGCATGCACAACAGATCCCAAAGCACTGAAAAGCAGAGCTCCAAATGGGTTTGGCTCATGCAATTCATCAAAACCCAATCCCTCCACCCTTCACCATCCTACTTGTGCAGGTGATGGGCGTGCAGAGCAGCAGCATCGTGTTCGTGGAGAGTGCGGCACGCGTGCAGCACCTGTCGCTCACAGGCCTCCTGCTGCAACACCCAACGCGCCCTGCTCTCCCGCACCTCTCACTTCCCCACTGTCCCCAATCTGACCCGCGTCGCCTTCCCTCTGTATGCCATGCTTCCAGCCTGTGCACAGCCAGAAGTCAGAAAGCCAGAGGGCTGCCACAAGGGGTTGCGGCTCATGGGACTCATCAGAACCCACTCCCATAACCCCTCACCACCATCGTGTTCATGCAGGTGTTGGGCGTGCAGAGCAGCAGCATCGTGTTTGTGGAGAGTGTGGCGCGCGTGCTGCACCTGTCGCTCACAGGCCGCCTGCTGCACTGCTTGGGCATCGTGGACCGATTCTTCGTGCAGTGGCCACACCTCACTGCCTCATGCAAGGGCACCCACTATGTGGGCCGCCTCATGTGATGCTGGCTGGCAGCAAGCACAGCAGCGGACCCAACTCCTGTTATGAGCTGACTCTTGAGTCGACTCAAATGGCCGCTTAATGAACCGCGTCTCCACGCAGTGGCTACACCAAATGCAAGGGCACCCAATACCAGGGCCACCTCATGACGTGCCAGAAGCAAGCACAGCAGGTCACTCATCGCTTGTCATGAGATGACTCAAAAGGCCGTGTGCTGCACCGCCTGGCCATCGTGGACTGCTTCTTCATTCACTGGTTGCTGGCCCTTCCCCCGAACGCTCTCTCCCCCCTACTCCCCCTACCAGTGCTGTGCTACCACTCCTACCTAGGCTTGGGCATTTGACCCGAACGGGTCGGGTAACCCGACCCGACCCGACCTTTTTGGCGGGTCGGGTATTTAGTTCTGATTGGACTACCCGGCCAGGTTGGGTATGTACACCTGCGTCGGGTAACAGATACCCGATACCCGACCCGGGTGTTCAAGATCGGGTATTTGATACCCGATACCCGACCTGGTCAAACATGTTTGTGGCTTGCAAAATGCCGTAAGAAGTGCCTAACTAAGACATTTAACTAAAAGTTTAGGTAATTAATAGGAGCGCGCCATCACACTGTGTGAAATGCAAATTTTAATGACATTGTCTTTACGGGTATACCCGGCCCGACCTCGGGTTATAAATACCCGAGGTATACAAAGCGGGTCGGGTAACTAACCTGACCCTAAATACCCGAGGTTGGGTATACCCGACCCGACCCCACCCTACCCTCGGGTAGCCCCAAACGGGTCGGGTCGGGTTGGGTCGGGCCAATGCCCAAGCCTACTCCTACCACCTAGGCTACAATGCCATCTCTCTGGCGCAACCTCTGCTTCTATACATCCCATGATCCTGATACTCACCCCACCATCCTCTCCCGCCGCCACCTCCCCCACCCTTTCTGATCCCATGCCCTCTCCACTTTCCACAAGTGTTTTGGGCGTGTACACTTACCATAGTTGGGCTAGGTTAAGCAGACCTGGGTTTCCTATACGGTATGTGGTATGTACCCCTGTATGCTATCATTCTAGTCATTCTCATTCGTTAACAGCAAGCCCCTTTTGAATGGCAGCGCCTTGACAAACGGACATGTACGGGGGTAGAGGTTGCAAGAGAGGTGTGTGGAATTGGAATTAAACCCAAAGACATGAACGGCGATGTCCTCGCGTCTCTTGCTGGTGAAAGGAGTTACATTACAACACCGGCCAGATTGGTGACCCTAAAGAAGGACGCAAGTGTTCGATAGCCAGGAGATCACGGTATAGGCCTGACAATTTTATAGACAGGCCCACTGCACAGAGCCCTCTTTCCTCACCACTGCTGTACGAGAATGAGACTCGCAGTGTGAAACAAGCAGCTAGTGGCATGACGCCCCCCCCTGCACAGCCCCCCCTACGACCCCCTGCACAGCCCCCACTACGCCCCCAGCTGCTTCATGAGCTCCGCCCTGCCCACAGCCAGCGCCTCCGGCAGCTTCTCCGGCTGCCTCCCCCCTGCCTGCGCGAAGTTGGGGCGCCCCCCTCCCCCTCCCCCACACACGCGCACCATGGCGCCCGCCAGCTTGCCCGCATTCACGCCCGCCTTGACCACCTGTGGGACACATGGGCGGGGAGCAGGCCACGTGGGGGAATGTGGAGATTGTATGGAGGGTGCTGCAAGGGCTGCTGGTGTGCAAGGGCTGCTGGTGTGCAAGGGCTGCTGGTGTGCATGGAATAACATGTGGTGAGCAACAGCGCACTGCAGGCAGCTGCCACTCACCTAGAGCACTCATCAAGAGCACTAACCAAGAGCAGTGTTCTAGAGCACACAGCATGCAGCTGGCACTCACCGCGGGGCTGAGCAGAGCCACGATGGCCACCTTGCCCTCCTCACTGCTGCCCGACGCCAGCACCACGGCACTCTCACTGCTGCCGCCCTCACCGCCTGCCGACAGCTGTGCCGCGAGGCTCTCTGCAGCCGTCTTGAGGGCGTCTGCTGTCACCCCGGGCAGCTCCGCCACCAGCACGCTGTTAGAGGCGGAGAGGGGGGAGAGGGAGAGGGGGCGAGAGGGGGAAAGGGAGGGAGGGGGGGAGGGGGGATGGGGATGGGCTAGTTGCGTTGTGAGTCGACTCAAAGGGCGTCGGCTGTCACTCCCGGCAACTCTGCCATCAGCACCCTGAGGGGGGGGGAAGAGGGGGGATGGGCTTGTTGCGTTGTGTGGGAGGTGGAGAGGATGCGAGCGCGGTGTGGAGGGGATTGAGGCACGTGTGTGGGGTGAGTGGTGGGCTCTAACCACTCCCTCATATGCATTCCCCACCCATGCTTTCCTGCCCTCCTGCCCGCCTTCCCCCCATGCACTCTTCCAGCTACCCCATGCCCTCCCCCCACCTCCCCCACAGTGCACCTGCACCCCATTCCCCCCCCCCCCTTCCCCTTCCACCGCACCTGCACACCATTCCTCCCCCCCTCCTTTCCACCGCACCTGCACACCATTCCCCCCCCCCCCCTTTCTACCTCACCTGCACCCCATTCCCCCCCCCCCCCCCCCCCCCCCTTTCCACCTCACCTGCACCCCATACTCCCCCCACCCTCCCCCCTTCCACCTCACCTGCACCCTATTTTCCCCCCCTCTCCTTACACCTCACCTGTGCCCAATTCTCCCCCCCCCCCCTTTCCACCTCAAATACACCCCATTTCCCCCCACAGCTCACCGGCACCCCATGGCCCCCACGGTCTCGGCCTGCCCCAGCAGCAGCTGTGAGCGCGCCACAGCCAGGTCGCCCCGCAGGCTCTCCGCCTCGCTGCGCGCCGCCCGCAGCTCCTCCTGCAGCACCGCCACTCGCGCCGGCACCTCCTCCGCCTTCACCTGCGGAGCACGAGGAGAGAGAGAAGGGAAGTGGTGGATGCACAATTGGTGAATCGTCAGAGAGTGCATGCAGAAAGGCCGCCCGCAGCTCCTCCTGCAGCACTGCCACGCGTGTTGGGAAGGCAAGGAGGTAAGAGTGGGTGTGATGAGCAGTGGTGTGGTCAGTGGTGCCACCAGGCTCTCCGCCTCGCTGAGGGCCTCCCGCACCTCCTTTATCACTGCGATTCGCGTTGGTACCTCCTCCACCTTCACCTGCATCCCGCGCCCCCCCGGCTCAGTGTGGCGTTTGAAAGGAACGAGGTAGGAGTCGTTGCGTTGAGCCAGAGAAGGAGGGAGACAAGTGGTGGATGCAGAAATGGGAATCGCCATAGTGTGCATGGAGAAAGAGGGTGGGGAAGAATGGTGTGGAGAAAGAGTGTGGAGAAGAAGAACGTGTGGAGCAGAGAGAGTATGCCGTGAAGGAAGGGGGGCAGCATCTTAGTTGTTCACAGCCGAGTGGTGCAGAGGAGCAGAACAAGGTGTGCAGCAGTGCAACGAGCAGAGCAGAACAGACATGTGGGTATGCAATGAGGATCTAAAGGGCGGGCATGGACTAACCTTGAGGGAGGAGGAGAGCGCCTTGACCACGCCGTCCCACTGGTGCAGCAGGTCCACTGCTGCCTCCCCCGCCACCGAGGTGAGCAGAGCGATCGTGTGGATCGTGGGGAGGAGTAAGCGCATGCACCTTGAGGGACGAGGAGAGCGCCTTGACAACGCCGTCCCATTGGTGCAGAAGGTCCACAGCCGCCTCGCCCGCCACGGCCTCAATGCGCCTCACACCCGCTGCGATGCCGGCCTCGGAGAGCAGCTTGAAGGCGCGGATGTGCGCTGTGTTGCCCACGTCCGTGCCGCCACACAGCTCCATGCTTATTCCCGGCACGTCTATCACTCGCACCTGTTGGGGCGAGGATAGCGGAGGAAGAAGGAGAGGGCGAGGGGGAGAGATGTGTTGGAGTGGGCTCATGTGCTCGCTACCACGCACCGACACCCCTCGGAGCGCCACTTGAGGTTCGCTTGAACCCTGCGCCCCCCTGCCCTTTGTGCAACTCTCTCACGTGAGTGCCTGGCATCTCCACTCCACAACACAGCGCCGACGGTGTCACACCATTCCGCCCACATGCCTCTCCCTCTCCCTGTCCTCTCCTTCACACCATACCTCCTCACCTCACCATACTTCTCTCCAAACATCGCGATGGCACCGGCACCATACTTGGTTCCCACCGGGGATGGTCTGGCACATGCCCCTCCAACCCCTTCACACATGCGCAAGCCCCTCCCTGCCCTTCCCCTGACACCACACATACCTCATCGTGTACTTCTCTCCAAACATCGCAATCGCCCCGGCAGCCTTGGCGTCAGCAATGTGCATATTGGCCGCCGTGACATCAGCCCCAGCGGCGATCCACTTGTTGACGCGCGCCTCCACGGCGGCGAGCTCGGAGGGCGTGAGGGCGCGCGGGAAGTGGAAGTCGAAGCGCAGCCGGTCGAACGCCACCAGGCTGCCCGCATGCGCCACGTCCGGGCCAAGTTGCTCGCGCAGCGCCGCCTGCAGCAGATGCGTTGCTGTGTGGTGCGCCTGGAGAGGGAGAGGGAAAGGGAAATGGAGAGGTGGAGCTGAGCGGAGGGATGAGGATGAGGCATGTGGTGAAATCTCAAAACGGCACCATAATCTAACAATCCGGCCTGAGCCCTCACAGCTGCCCTCACGCTCACGTGCACCCTCATTCCCTCTCCCCTCACCTGTGCACGCAGCCGTTGCTTCTCATCCACCACCGCCTCCACCTCGTCACCCACACACACCTTGCCCTCCTCCACCTCCCCCCGGTGCAGCCACAGCCCTCCCCCCGCGCGCTGCACATCCCTCACCCGCACCACCGCCCCCTCCCCCTCCCCCTCCGTGCCCTGCAGCACGCGCATGTGCCCCCAGTCGGCGATCTGCCCGCCCCCCTCGGCGTACAAGGGCGTGCGCGCCAGCACCACGTCCACTGCCTGCCCCGCTGCTGCGCGCTCCACCACCCTGCCGTCCACCACGAGCGCCAGCACGGGCGAGGAGGAGGCGAGGCACGAGTACCCCACGAACTCGGTTTCCGGCACCTGCCCTGCCAGGTCCGCTGCTGCCCCACCCACCGCCAGCTTGATCGCACTGTGCGCCGCCTGGGGGGGGGGGGCAATTAGGGAAAGGCGGATTGTGGAAAGGAGGGAAGACATGGATCGTTCTTTGAAGAGAACCAACTGAAGGGAGGTGGACTGGAGGGGACCAATTATCTTGGCCTAGCTCCGAATCAAGCCCATTTTTCCGTACCTCTCTAGGTTGACTATCTGTACTCCCCCTTTCCATTCCAAACAACACCTCCACTGTTCAATGTCACCTCATCCTCGCACGCGTACCTGCGATTGTTTCCGCTGTGCCGCCATCTGTTGCTCAAAGCCCGCCATGTCCACGGCCACGCCCCTCTCCCGCGCCACCTCCTCTGTCATCTCCACGGGGAACCCATACGTGTCGTATAGCACAAACGCATCCCGCCCACTCAACACCGCCCCCACCACCACCCCCACCCCCTCCCCTCCTGCAGCAGCACCGTCAGCAGCAGCATGAGCAGCAGTGCTATCAGCGGCGTGGGAGAGCGCCTGGGAGAGCAGAAGGTCGAGCATCTTCTTGCCGCGCTCCAGCGTGGCCAAAAACCGCTCCTCCTCGCGCCGCAGCTCCTCCACCACCCGCTCTGCTCGCTCTGCCACGTTGCCGTTGATGTGTGCACTCATCGCTATCACCTGGTTGGGGGGGAAAGAGGGGGGAGGGGGGAGAGGGCACGCGGTAATTAGGCGTGCAGGGGAGGAATCACAGTCCTGCATGTACCCCATTCCCCACTGGCACTCCTCCTTCCACCGCAGTTCCTCCAGCATGCCCTCGGCACGCTCTGCCACGTTGCTGTTGATGTCCGTGCTCATGGCTAACCTGGCATAGGGGAGGAGGCACATGTGGGAAGGTTGGGCGTTAGGTGGGTCGTGCAGGGGAGGAAGCACAGGGCTCACAGGAACTGCTGCTCGTGGCACAGGGCCCACAGGCACTGCTGCTCGTGGCTGCTCCCGGCCCTATCAGCTAGTGGCGGGGGAATGAAAGGGGACACAGGGGTTGAGACGAGAAGCGGGGGAAAGGTGAAGTAGACGATGAAAGAGGCACAGGGGATCGGAATCAGGAGACGTTAGTTATGCAGCTGCAGCGAAACAGATGGAGGAAGGAGGCTGAATCGCACACCTGTCGAGCGATGATGGGCAGGAAGGCAGAGTCACTGCTTCCAGCAGCACTGCCGTTGCCATTGGCAGAGTCGCTGTGGTTGTGAGTGGTGGCGGCGTTGATGCCGAGCAGCCTGGTGGTGCGCACAAGGCGGCGCACGAGGCGACGCACAACGTAGCCGCGGCCGAGATTGGAGGGCGACACGCCGTCCGCCACCAGGTGCACCACGGCCCTCGCATGGTTGCCTATCACCTGCACGGGCACAACGGACGCCAGGGGAGGAGGTGGACCCAGCGAGATGCGATGCGATGAGGTGAGGCGAGGTGATGTGAGATGTATACAACAGCACTGCCGGGAATAATCGGCAGCGGCTAACGAGATGGCCGGGGAGAAAGCAATGGGTGGTCTGAGTGAGGCAGAAGGCGTGCAAAGGCAGGGGGACAGCAGGGACCCGGGGACAGTGAGAGGTTGTTTTACGACAAGGCATGTGAACTCCCACCCTGATAGCTGTGACCTCAGCCACACCCACCTTGAGCATGCGCTTGGTGTCGTCATCCGCGCTGTGGTAGTCCACACCCGCCAGCTTAGCAGCACGCTGCACGATGGGGAAGATGAGGTCCGTCTCGTAGTTGCTCGGCACCTGGCGGTGGGGAGGGTATGTGGGCGTGGGGCCACGCCATGTGGGCACAGGGAGTGAGACGGGTGAGGAGAGATGTGGGTGAATGTGTAGATCGCATCTTGGCAGGATGAGCAAGGTCCGAACTACAGCTGGTTCAGGTCAAACCCAACTGCACTAAAGTACTCTGCTCAACCGTACTGGGGTGGAGGGATATGCTCCTCATGCGTTAGCCAGAGATACTGCCATCGTGCCACTAAGTAAGTAAGTAGCCTGCTTATAGCATGCGTGTCAGCACTAGTGCTTCCAGCATTCAACTCCACGCTACTTAAGTTCATGCAACCATCCTTGCGCCTGAGATGAGATATGAGACACATATGCAAGCACACCACCAGCACATGCACTGCTATCACCAGCATAGGCACAGCAGCATAGCCACAGCAGCATAGCCAACCAACGGCATACCACTAGCAGCACACCCAGCCGCACACGTCACTATGAGTCACCAGCAAGCAAGCACTGCACCCTGCACCCCTCACCTGCTGCAGGATCTGCGCAAGGCGTTCAAGGCCGAGCCCCGTGTCGATGTTCTTGCAGCGCAGCGGCTCCAACGACCCGTCATCACGGCGGTTGCTCTCCATGAAGACCAGATTGTAGAGCTCTATGAAGCGACTGTCGTCGCCCAGATCCTGCGATAGAGGCACACAGCACAGCGCACACAACACAGCGCACACAGCACAGCGCACACAGCACAGCGCACACAGCACAGGGCACACAGCACAGCGCACACAGCACAGCGCACACAGCACAGGGCACACGGCACAGCGCACACAGCACAGGGCACACAGCACAGGGCACACAGCACAGCGCACACAGCACAGCGCACACAGCACAGGGCACACAGCACAGCGCACATCGCACAGCGCACACAACACAGGGCACACATCACAGGGCACACAGCACAGCGCACACAACACAGCGCACACAGCACAGGGCACACTGCACAGGGCACACAGCACAGCGCACACAGCACAGGGCACACAGCACAGCGCACACAGCACAGCGCACACAGCACAGCGCACACAGCACAGGGCACATAGCACAGGGCACACAGCACAGGGCACACAGCACAGGGCACACAGCACAGGGCACACAGCACAGCGCACACAGCACAGGGCACACAACACAGCGCACACAGCACTGGGCACACAGCACAGCGCACATAGCACAGCGCACACAGCACAGGGCAGACAGCACTGGGCACACAGCACAGGGCACACAGCACAGGGCACACAGCACAGAGCACACAGCACAGGGCACACAGCACAGGGCACACAGCAGAGGGCACACAGCACAGGGCACACAGCACAGCGCACACAGCACAGGGGACACAGCATAGGGCACACAGCACAGGGCACAGGGCACAGAGCACAGGGCACACAGCACAGCGCACGCAGCACAGGGCACACAGCACAGGGCACACAGCACAGCGCACACAGCACAGGGCACACAACACAGGGCACACAGCACAGCGCACACAGCACAGGGCACACAGCACAGCGCACACAGCACAGGGCACAGAGCACAGCGCACACAGCACAGGGCACACAGCACAGGGCACAGAGCACAGGGCAGAGGGCAGAGGGCATGGGAGGAGCAGGGTGGTGGTGTGGCAGGCATGGCATGGGGCTGCCATCCTGCTTGCAGTGTGCCCCAGGTGATGCTGCACTCACGGTGCCCTGCGCGCAGTGGTCCCGCCACCCGCACCCATACAGAACAGCCATGCATTAAAGCAGCACCCTGGGGTACTCACGGCGCACTCCATGCTTTGCTCAGGGAGAAAGTCGTAGTAGAGCTCGCTGCACTGCTCTTGCATGCACAGCACAGCACAGCGCAGCACAGCAAAGCACAGTGCAGCGCAGCACACAGCAAAGCACAGTGCAGCGCAGCACACAGCAAAGCACAGCGCAGCGCAGCACAGCACAGCGCATGTATGTATGGATGAGTGATGAGACGAAAGCAAGCACATGTACTTACAGCGCCGTGGATGCCGCGCTCGGGGTGGAAGTCATAGTAGAGCTCGCTGCACGGCCCACACGGCCCCGTGGGCCCACTCGCCCAGAAGTTGTCCTCCTCGCCCAGCCGCTGAATGCGCTCCGGCGCCACTCCCACCTGGTCTTCCCAGTGGGCGGGTGGGGGGGGGGGGAGAGGGTGGTGCGGGTACGGCGGGTTTGAGTCAGCTCTGAAGGTTGCGGGTGGCTTTTGAGATTTCCCACAAAGACTTTTGAGGTGCCTCAAAAGTCCCAGAGGTTGTCCGCTGCATGCGCTCTGCACTAACTCCCACCTGGTGTTGAAGGTGGGGTCGAAGAATGTCTGCGTGCGGTGCGGGAGCGCAGGCGTACATGTGACTCCAAGCACAGCAGCAGCAGCAGCAGCAGCAGCAGCAGCAGCAGCAGCAGCAGCAGCAGCAGCAGCAGCAGCAGGGGGGGGGAGCAGTAGGCAGCGGGGGCGGCACGCACCTGGTCCTTCCAGATGGCGTACGTCTCATCGTCGTCGCGGAAGACGCTCACCCAGATGCGCTCCTCTGGTATGCCGAACCTGGCCTCAGCTCACACCACACACCACACACGTCAGGGGGCGAGGCAGAGCAGAGAAAACAGTGCAGAGCAGTGCAGAGCAGAGCAGTGCATTGCGATGAGCAATGGATGGTGCATGGCATGCCGCATGGAGGGAGAGGGTGGCGCGGGCAAAAGGATGAGGCTGCATAGAGGTCTCGTGGGTCTGGCCAAGTTGGTTGCAACAGCAAGGCAAGGCAAGGCAGCGGCATGGGAGGGAATGAGGTCCCATCACGTCAAGAGAGCTGAGCACGCCCACAGTGGCACACCATCGAGATTGAGTTGATGGGGACACGTGATGCGAGGCACAGGGAGTCAGATTTGAAGGACATACAGAAGCAGTGCCGTGCATGCAATCCAGTCCAAGTGCCGGCAACTCCCTTCCACCCTGACCCAGGCAGTGCAGTGTGCCCCCCCCCTCTTGCACTCACTCCTCAGTGGCGAGCTGCCAGGCCCACTGGCACGCGTCCTGCTTGAAGTAGTCCCCGAAGCTGAAGTTGCCGAGCATCTCAAAGAAGGTGTGGTGGCACGCCGTGCGCCCCACGTTCTCCACGTCGTTGGTGCGCACACACCGCTAGCTCGTTGTCGCGCGCGGCACGCTGGGCGGCACCTGGGGCAGGCGGGATGGCGGGAGGTGGATTTTGCTTTAGAAAGTCAACAGAGGTGGTATGGTGGGCAGGTGGGCAGGTGGGATGGTGGGCAGGTGGGGAGGTGGGGAGGTGAGATGGTGGGGAGGTGGGGAGGTGAGATGGTGGGGAGGTGGGATGGTGGGGCGGCAGGGAGGTTGAAACAGAGTTAGCAAGAGGGTGGTGCTGACAGCATGCACTGCTGAGTGGCTGTGGCGGCACGGGTGGGGCGCTGTTGGACACCACGCGGGTGGAGGTGGGATAAGTGGGACAGCGGGGGAGGGGGCGATGGGGGCATGGACGGGGTTAATGGGGGCATGGGATGTAATCTGGGGGGCATGGAAGAGTGGATGGAAGAATTGTGGGGCAGATGGGGACATGGGATGTGGGATGGGGGCATGTGAGGGGGAGACGGGGGCATGTGATGGGGAGATGAGGGCATGTGAGGGGGAGATGAGGGCATGATAGGTGGTGATGATCAGCATGCCGGCAATGGTGAGGGGAGAGGGGAGAGAGAGAGAGGGGGGGGGGAGAGAGAGAGAGAGAGGGGGGGGGGGGAAGGGGGGCAGAGGGTGGGAGCCCACCTGGGCGAGGAAGACGGGTTTGAAGGGCAGCATGCCGGCGATGGTGAGCAGCACGGTGGGGTCCGCCGGCACCAGCGACGCGGACGGCAGCACCGCGTGGCCCCTCGCTGCATAGAACTCCAGGAACCGCCGCCTCAGCTCACTGCCCGCCACTGCTGGGTCCACCGCTGCTGGCGCTGCTGGTGGTGCTGGCGCTGCTGGCCCTGGCGCTGCTGGCGGGGGTGCGGGTGCAGCAGGTGCGATGGAGAAGGGGGGGAGGAGGAGTGGGAAGGGGCGCAGGGAGGGTGGAGGGAAGCACGGCGGGCAGGGGAGGAAGGAGGGCGGGGGAAACATGGAGGGCAGCGGAAGCAGGGAGGGCGGGGGAAGTAGGGGGTAGCGGGGGAAGCAGGGGGGAGCGGGGGAGGGCGGGGGAAGCAGGGGCGCGGGAAGCAAAGGGGCCGCGGGAAGCAGTGAGGGATGAGTGAGTGACGGAGGTGATGGGGATGATAGGAAGGGATGAGGGGTTGCGTTGGGGATATGGCCGGAACCAGAGGGAGGAAGGGAGAAGGACGGCGGATGAACACACCGGAGCGGGAGACGAAAGAGGCAGGTCGGTGAGGACGGGAGGTGGGTGAGGTGAAGGAGGTAGGTGGGGCGCGGGAGGGAGGGGGGGAGAAAGGGAGGTGGGCGAGAGCAACGACAGGATAGCAGCCGCAAGTCGACGGACGAGAAAGAGGCTTGTGTTGGAGGGAGGGGGTGGGGGGGAAAGGCAGTGAGGGGGACGGGTGGAATGTGCAAATGGGGGGACACGGGGAGCCACACATGGCCGGCGACGCACCTTCCGCGGTGGCGGGGCCACCGCCATCGCTTCCCGCGTCGGCTGCCGCCCGCACCGACGCAGCGCGCGATAAAGCGGGCCGCGACGACGCGCGCCGAGGGGGGAGAGGGAAGACGCGCGGCGCGGAGGAGAGGAGTGAAGGAGAGGGGACGAGGGAGGAGGCGAGTCGAGATGCGTGCAGCGTCGCTGAGTGGCGCCGCGGCGATGAGAGGCGTGAGAGGCGGGAAGGGGATGGCAGGGAGTGATGCGCGTGCGAGTGGCCTAGTGGAGGGGAGGGACGGGTGGGAGCAGGCGACAACGCGCTCAACAATCTCCATTCGCCAATCGCGCCCACGATTCATCGACAAGGTCGTGCGACTAAGCAAAAAAAGGGTGTGCGACTAAGCGAAAAAAGGGCGTGCGAGCGCGGCGCGACGAGGTCTGACCTGCGAGCACGTGGCAGCCACGTGTAGCGGGTAGCGTCCGATTGAGCAGCAAACGCCAAGACGTTGCCATGGCAACGATTGATAAATACCGCGCTTCCCAGATGAACGATCCTCCACTGCCAGCACTACCACTTTGCTAGCTCGTTTCCGCTGTGCCACCGGAACCACCGCCGATCACTTGTCTCGCGTTTTTTACTCGACACAAATTTGAATGCTGAAATACAGAAAGAACCTCTCTGAACCGATCGACCCTACGCTGGACTCAAATCTTGGTTGATGGAAAAGGTCGCCTTGGGGTGTCCACGTCGCGCAGCAACATCGAGGTTGCTGTTGGCGCACCGTGCAATCCGTGCATGCCACGACGCAGATGAGTGGGCAGAGTGAGTTTGTGGGGAATGGAGGACAAGAAATGTGGGAAAAATACTGTAAAACAATAACTGTATGTGGGGAAAGTATTTGCTGGCTACCTTGTTATTGAAAAAATAACTCATTTCATCGTGGGTTTACTCGAACACTTGTCACTCAAAATACATCCCATATTATGTTTATGACTCATCCTGCCAGACAACGTTTTCTTGCCACGTGTTCACATCACCACTGTTGTTCATGAAATTATAAACGTAGTAGTTTTGGGCATGAACGGAAAAAACCAATTGTTACAATCTCAGGTGGAACTTAGTGAATGATCGATCAGGGTTGATCGCAGGTAGTGTTGCAGCGGAAGTAGTGAACTCAGGTCAGAGTGAATGTAAATGACTGAGATGATAATAGCATGCATACATCGAGTTTATATAGGAAATACAAAGGAATGCGAAACGACCTAGACTAGCCATGTACTCTAAGGGGTACATTCCCTTATTGCAGCGAATTCAAACCGCGCAGCGTGGGAACCAGTTTCAAACCTGTTCCCGCTCTTTTCATTTCAAATATTTCTGCCTGCATCGGTCGTGGTCAAACGGTTGCTATGTGGCTTCGACTCTTCTGACGCCTCGACTTCGTACTCGGTAGAGTCGGCTCCTGCAGCGTACAGGAATGCCTTCTCATAAACTTTCATATCGTAACACTCCCCTTCATTCCTGGGCGCGCAGAGGGCTGACTCGCTTGACTACTCCGGTGAGCTCAGAATAGTGCTTGTACTGCTGACGTTGTAGTCGCTTGGTGAGGAAGTCGGCTGCCATCTCGGTTGTGGGCTAGTACGCGAGGTCAACCTTGCCCTGGTCAATCTCGTCCTTGACGAAAAAAGTACCGAAGCGCGATGTGCTTCTTGCGGTTCACGAATCATGGCTTGTTAGCGATCTTGATGGCGCTCTGGTTTTCGTAGTGAAGGCGAAAGGTGGGCGAAGTTGGATTTTTTGCTTCCTGCAGCACCTCCTGCAGGTACAGACCTTCGCGAAACTGCTGCTGTTGCGGCAATGTATTCTGCTTCAGCCGATGACAGGGCAACCATCTCCTGCTTTTGTGAATTCAAGGAGATTGGTCCGGTTGGCTCCAGACGAAAAACGAAACCGGTTCGGGACCGTCGATCCGCAGGATCAGCGGCATGATCCGCGTCCACGTAGCCGTTGAGATTGAAGGAAGTCGTCGTCAGCGTGGAGTAGGAGAGCCCGATGTCAGGTGTGGAGATGAAGTACTGCAGGGCGCGCTCCAAGTCCAGCTGGTTTTCAGCTACTGGCTTGCGAGAGTACTGTGCCAGTTGGCTGGCGATGTACGAAAGGTCGGGTCGGCAGGTGACAGAGGTGAACAACAGGCATCCCAGATGCGCTGGTACAGCTAGAGTCCTGCGGGCAGGGGACAGAGGTTTGTTGTCCGGTTTGTAGTTGGTGCTGGGGTTGCGGTAGGGAGTTGAGAGTGGTGTGGGCGGAATGACAAATGAATTGCTTCTGGCACGTAGGCGATGTTCAGCCCCAGGAACTGCGTGACGTTGTGGTTGATGGTGATGTCAACGCGCTGCGCCAGGTTCTCCTCGAACTAATTGAGTTGTTTGTTGTAGGTGCCAGTGTACAGCAGATCGACGTAAACGGTAAGGAGAATGTAGTCGCCATTGAAGTGGAGGCGGTACATTCCCGGGTCGTGTGGCAGCTGCCTGAAGCCGATCTCAAGAAGGATTTTGTGCAGATGCTGCTGCCAGAGGCGCGGCGCCTGCTTTATCCACGTAGACCCTGGGGTCTCCTTCCCCGTAGGTGTGTGGCTGCTCCACGAAGATGGTGGCATCAACCAGCGTGTACAAAAACGCATTCTTGACGTCGATCTGCCGCAGTGGTAGATGCTTAGTGGTGGCAATGGCGAATATGATCTTGACGGAGGTGTGACGGCTGACGGGAGCGAAGGCTTGATCGAACTCAATGCCGTGGCGCTGATGGTACCCGCGTATAACCCATCGTACTTTGAAGCGATCTATGGTACCGTCAATATTAGTCTTTAAGCGAAAAACCCATTTTCCGCCGAGCACCCTCCTCCCCTTCACTGCTGCACGATCGACTAGGACCCATGTATCACGTGATTCCAGCACCTTTAGCTCCGCATCCATGGCGGCACGCCACTCCTTGGCGTGAGGACCGGTTAGGGCCTGGCGCGGGTTCTTGGGCTCGACGACGCGCGTGAGGGTAGTGACTGACGTGTGCAGAACGAGAAGCTGACACATTGGTAGTGCCTGCGGTGTCTGTGGTGGTAATTTTCACCACAACGTCATCGTCACTCTCATGGCCTGGTGAGAGAGTGCTTGGTTCAGCTTGGCGCCGTGATGGTCCTGGCGCGGGAGCGTCGTTGCTGTCATTGTCGTCGTCGTTGCACAGACGAGGCGGTACGCCGGGATGTTCTTTGGCGGGTTCGCGGTCGAACGCTGCTGCTGCTGCTGCTGCTGCATCGTCTTCTGGAGATGCAAAGCTGCGGCCGCTGTTGGCGTAGCCGCGGGCGACGTTGCGATGCTCGTCCTCGATCCACTACTGCAAGGTGAGACGTTCGTAGAAGAGGATGTCACGGGCCGGTACTGCACCATGCACCCCCAAACCCTCAACATGGAGGGATCTCCCCTTGAGCCGGTCCACTCCATGTGCAGGGAGAGGTTGTCTCGATTGGCCGTGGTTGAGAGGAGGTTGCGCAGTCTCACGGCGTGGTTCATGGCTTACGGCCAGTACTTCTTAGGTAGGCAGGACTGATTCATGAGGGCGCGTACTTTTGTCATGAGGGTGCGGTTGATCCTCTCTGTGACGCCTTGCTGCTGGTGAGCGATGGGGAGAGAGACCTGATGCTTGATCACCTTCTCTGTAACAACACTCTCCAGTTCGTTGCTGTGAAACTCCTTGGCACCGTCGGTCTGCCAGATTTTCAACTTCTTTCCTGATTGTCGCTGTGCGTGTGCGAGCCAGATGCGAAAGACTTCAGGAGCCTTGGAGCGAACGTCGACATTAGCGATCCAGAAGTAGCGTGAGTACGCGTCGATGAAGGTAAGTGTGTGCTGTTCGCCGTTGATGCCGGGAAGGTGAGCACAATGAAGTCACTGTATACCTTCTGCAGTTTCTTGTAGCGGTTGGTGCTTGGATCCAGGGAGGGGTAGGCGTGATGAGAGAGAGCATCTGTGGGACAGACGGTGCAGGTAGTTGGATGAAGGGTGGAGTGAGGTTTCGTGCCGTCGGGGCGCAGCAGTGCTCCTGGAAGAAAGACTTTGATGCGGAGGCAGTTGTTGAACGTATGTCGCAAGGGTTGACCGAGTCGTTGTTGCCAGAGATCGTCCTCGGCGCGAATTCTAGAGGTGCGCAGGTAACGCGCGTGGTGTTCCGCCGCCTCTGCTTCTGTCTCTTGGGGAATTTAGAGCGCTGGTTCTTCCTCTTCTCTTGGTTCTGCTTCATTGTCCGGCTCCACTGTTTCTGCTTCTATTGCTGTCTCCCCTTCCGCAGGTGCCATCATGAGGTAGAGCGCAAAAAAATCGCGATCTCGGATGATGTTGAGCGGAGTCCTTGTGCCCTCGATGAAGCGGGCAAATGGATCTGGGTGGGAGATTGGTCCAAGGGCGTCACGGGGTGGAGTTTACGGTACATTCCCCTCCTCAATCTCCGACCAGGGATTATACCAGCGATGAGGTGAGTTGGGTGGTGATGGGAGATTGCGCGGTGGACAACCGAGCCGAACGGCGACTCGTGGGGATAGTCTATCAGCTGCCATCTCCCGTTCAACCGCCTCGAGCTCCTCTTGGGTGAGATCGCCTTCGGCGAGGACTCGGTGTTCCGGTTCTCCCCACGCGCTAGTTCCCCAACCTTGGGTGGAGCCCCATGTGCCAGATGCGGACCCCCATGTGGCACCTGAGGTGCCCCCATTATCGTCAGCGTCGTCTCCCCAACCACCACGTCGTGCAGACTATTCGTCCCATCCGGCCGTTATGCACTCTTCATACAGTTTCTGTTTCTTCGCTGCCTTTGCATTGTCTTCTTCTTCCTTGATGCTCAGCTCCTCTTTTGCGTCAGGATCCTTCCACGCCTTGTCGATGACGTTGCGGTAGACGTCGTGGGTGTAAGGACGCGGACGATTCTCCTGTCAAAAGTTCCGATATTGGCTTCGAGGACGAAGCGGAGCGTCTACGAGCATGGTGTTGGGCGCTCCTGCGGCATTTGTCCGAGCCTATCGTTTCGTTCACCGAAGATGTGCTGAGTGGTGACGTCGAGCTCCATCTCCGTCATGCCTATGGGCTCTGCCTCGGCGCTTTCCTCCTCTTGAATTGCGGCAAGATCTCTTTCCACTTCTTCTGTGCGACTTGCCGTGGGTGTGTGACAGGTGGTGCAGAGGTCGTTGAGGTTAGGTTGGTGCAGATTTATCTCACGAGGGTTAGGACTGCGCATCCATGGTTGTCCATCTGGGTGCTGCCATGACTCCTTGTTCATGAACAGGAAGTCCAGGGGAAC